TCTAGGTGGCATACCTAGTGCATCGGGTCCAATGAAAATCTTTTGTGACAATACTGGTGCAATTTCCTTGGCAAAGGAATCCAGATTTCAAAAGAGAACCAAGCACATCAAAAGACGCTTCAATTCCATCTACGATCAAGTCAAGGAGGGAGACATAGAGATTTGCAAGATACATACGGATCTGAATGTTGCAGACCCGTTGACTAAGCCTCTCTCACGAGCAAAACATGATTAGCTCCAAGACTCCATGGGTATTAGAATCATTATAATGTAATCTAGATTATTGACTCTAGTGCAAGTGGTAGACTGAAGGAAATATGCCTAGAGGCAATAATAAAGTTGTTATTTATATTTCCTTATATCATGATAAATGTTTATTATTCATGCTAGAATTGTATTAATCGGAAACTTAGTACATGTGTCAATACATAGAAAAACAGAGTGTCACTAGTGTGCCTCTACTTGACTAGCTCGTTAATCAAAGATGGTTAAGTTTCCTAACCATAGACATGAGTTGTCATTTGATAAAGGGGATCACATCATTAGAGAATGATGTGATTGACATGACCCATCTGTTAGCTTAGCACTATGATCGTTTAGTTTATTGCTATTGCTTTCTCCATAACTTATACATGTTCCTATGACTATGAGATTATGCAACTCCCGAATACCGGAGGAACACTTAGTGTGATATGAAACGTCACAACATAACTGGGTGATTATAAAGATGCTCTACAGGTGTCTCGATGGTGTTTGTTGAGTTGGCATAGATCGAGATTAGGATTTGTCACTCCGATTGTTAGAGAGGTATCTCTGGGCCCTCTCGGTAATGCACATCACTATAAGCCTTGCAAGCAATGTAACTAATGAGTTAGTTGCAGGATGATGCATTACGGAATGAGTAAAGAGACTTGCTGGTAATGAGATTGAGGTAGGTATGATGATACCACGATCGAATCTCGCGCAAGTAACATACCGATGACAAAGGGAACAACGTGTGTTGTTATGCGGTTTGACCGATAAAGATCTTCTAGAATATGTAGGAAGCAATATGATCATATAGGTTCCACTATTGGTTATTGAACGGAGATGGGTCTCTGTCATGTCTACATAGTTCTCGAACCCGTAGGGTCCGCACGCTTAACGTTCGATGACGATATGTATTGTGAGTTATATGATTTGATGCACCGAAGATTGTTCGGAGTCCCGGGTGTGATCACAGACATGACGAGGAGTCTCGAAATGGTCGAGACATGAAGATTGATATATTGGAAGGTTATGTTTCGACACCGGAAAGGTTTCGGATAGGTTCGGGCATTTTCTGGAGTACCGGGGGGTTACCGGAACCCCCCAGAGGGTTAATGGGCCTTCATGGGCTTTAGTGGAACAGAGAGGGGGCGGCCAAGAGTAGGGCGCGCCCCCCAAGCCCAATCCGAATTGGGGAGTGGGGTCGGCCCCCTCTCCTTCTTCCCCTCTTCCTTTTCCCTCCCCATCCTAGTTGGACTAGGAAAGGGGGGAACCTACTCCTAGTAGGAGTAGGATTCCCCCCTTGGGGCGCGCCCTATGAGGCTGGCCGGCCCCCTCCTCCACTCCTTTATATACGGGGGAGGGGGCACCCCATAGATACACAAGTTGATTTCTTAGCAGTGTGCGGTGCCCTCCCTCCACAGATTTCCACCTCAGTTATATTGTCGTAGTGCTTAGGCGAAGCCCTGCGTCGGTAACTTCATCATCACCGTCAGCACGCCATCGTGCTGATGAAACTCTCCCTCGGCCTCGGCTGGATCTAGAGTTCGAGGGACGTCACCGAGCTGAACGTGTGCAGATCGCGGAGGTGCCGTGCACTCGGTACTTGATTGGTTGGATCGCGAAGAAGTTCGACTACATCAACCGCGTTACTCAACGCTTCCGCTTTCGGTCTACGAGGGTACGTAGACACACTCTCCCCTCTCGTTGCTATGCATCTCCTAGATAGATCTTGCGTGATCGTAGGAATTTTTTTTGAAATACTGTGTTCTCCAACAAAAGATGCTCTACAAGTATCTCCAAAGGTGTTTGTTGAATTGGCATACATCGAGATTAGGATTTGTCAGTCCGAGTATCGGAGAGGTATTTTTGGGCCCTCTCGGTAATGCACATCATAAGAAGCCTTGCAAGCAAAGTGACTAATGAGTTAGTTGCAGGATGATGTATTATGGAATGAATAAAGAGACTTGCCGGTAACGAGATTGAACTAGGTATGAAGATACCGACGATCGAATCTCGGGCAAGTAACATACCGATGACAAAGAGAATAATGTATGTTGTCATTATGGTTCAACCGATAAAGATCTTTATAGAATATGTAGGAGCCAATATGAGCATCTAGGTTCCTCTATTGGTTATTGACTGGAGAGGTGTCTCGGTCATGTCTACATAGTTCTCGAACCCGTAGGGTCCGCACGCTTGAAGTTCGATGACGATTTAGTATTATATGAGTTATGTGATTTGGTGACCGAATGTTGTTCGGAGTCCCAGATGAGATCACGGACATAACGAGGAGTCTCAAAATAGTCTAGAGGTAAAGATTGATAAATAGGATGATAGTATTTGGACAGCGGAAGTGTTCCAGGTAGTATCGAGTATTTATCGGAGTACCGGGGGGTGGAAGATATGGGCCATATGGGGCCATAAGAGGGGAGCACACTAGCCCACAAGGGGTGGCGCGCCCCCCTTAGGCATGTGGCCTAATTGGAGAAGGAGGAGAAGGGGTCCCCCCCCCTTCATTCTCTCCTTCCCCCTTCCATTTTCTCTCCGGTAAAAAAGGAAGGTGGGAGGTCCCCATGGCTGCTCCCCTCCCCCTCCCACCTATATATATTTGGGGTGGGGGCGCCTAAAACACACAACAACTATTGTTAGCTGTGTGCGGTGCCTCCCTCCACAGTTTACACCCCCGGTCATAGTTTTGCGGTGCTTAGGCGAAGCCCTGCAAGAATCACTTCACCATCACCGTTATCACGCCGTCGTGCTGACGGAACTCATCTACTTCCTCGACACCTTGCTGGATCAAGAAGGCGAGCGACATCATCGAGCTGAACGTGTGCAGAACTCGGAGGTGACATACGTTCGGTGCTTGATCGGTCGGAGTTAGAAGAAGTTCGACTACATCAACCGCGTTGTCAAACGCTTCCGCTTTCGGTCTACGAGGGTACGTCGACACACTCTCCCCCTCTCTTTGCTATGCATCTCCTAGATAGATCTTGCGTGAGCGTAGGAATTTTTTTAAAATTGCATGATACGTTTCCGAACAGCGAGGCCCTCGGTCAATTGATCGATATGCTCGTGCATGGTTGCAGTAGGCCCTCGATCGATTGATCAATGCTAGTGTGCGGTAGCAGCCCACGTTGCATGCGCAAGACTTCACATTTATAGAGAACTGGATCAATTGATAATTGTGAGTCTCACTATAACCTCTGGGTATGTGGCGATGGTGCGTGATAGTTGGAGAAGTCATATTCGCGAGTTGTTGCTAATTGCACGGTAGTGTAGGAGGTCCTATGTGAGACTCTCTGGCTTGCTATAGCTAGTAATGTTGCGTACTTGACAGTGGTGTGCGAAGCGATATGCGAGTAGACCCCGCCCCCTCGGTTGCATGGTGCGCGGTAGTTGGAGGCCCTGTTCGTATACGCGTGATTGTGTAGTTTCTGTGGTTGCATTGTGAGGAATCCCCCGCGCGTTGCTGCGAGGCGCGCGTTAGTTGTCCCATTGCGGTCGTAGTGTATACCCCCAACCCCAAGCCGACTACCTCTCGATGTACAGTACCTCGTTCCAGCCGGCTCGTTCCGCATTGTTGCATACCCCCACCGACCTGCCACCGCTCGTTGCCTCTCCATACAGTGTTCCATTGATGCATACATAATGGGATACCCGCACCCCAGCTAGTCGGTCATTGCATTCCACTGGATATTGCCTTTCGATGTACAGTGCCTACTTTGAGGTGCCGTGACCCGCGGATCCCTCCGGCAACGGAAGCTGCAATGCAACTGCATGCAATGCATGCTTCCGCGCACCGGCGAGAGAGCTGCAATGCAACGTGTGTAGTGCTGCGACCCATAGATCTTATCAGCGGCGGAGCTTCAATACAACGTGCGTGGTGCTGCCAATGACTAAATACAGCGGCGGAAGCTACAGTGTGACACGGTTGCTGGGAGAAGACCAGTTGCTGTGCCGGCTGCTGCAAGGCGATGATGTTGGCGAGGGGATTTGCACGATTAGAGAGACGATAAGAAAGGGCCTGATCACACGGCTTGTAGCGGGACAATCATACGGTTGTCAAGCCGACTGATTTTCCCCCAAAATCAGCCGATTGCCGCCTAGCAGCCGCCATTATGAAGCGCCTTCGTGTGTGACGTGATGCCACATTGCATATGGGCTGTCTGACTGTATGCGATGTGCCCTCCACGTTAGCGACGGGCACAAATTCGGTGTGCGATGAGACATTTCAGAGATGTGGTGTTCTCTACTAGCCTTCTTTGTGCTACAGTACTTGTGTGTCACGTAGTGGCGGTTGCAACACGTCCAGTTTAAGAGTTATAAAACGAGCCGCGCATACATATGAAACTCTTTGTTAAATGTGGCACATTGCAGTAGTTAAGCAGAGATACAATACAACCAACCAGACCATTCCAGACATGTACTAATAAGCAGGTGAGAACACTTACAAGACTTCCGAAGGTGGTTCTAGCTAGGTATCTGAAGAATTGATGATACAGCGTACGCTAAGTAGTCTCTAGCACCTGCCTGATCGATGCACTTTGACCAATCTCTACTTCGATCAGGTCGCAAACTACCAGTTATACTATCCTCTCTTGGATCCAACATTACGAATGTACATCAAGAATTTTTCAGCAGGATGGCTGCTGTCGACGCGATGCAGCCCATGCATGCAAGACAGGTATATATGTATCCCGGTACTCCCAGACGGACCCCCCTGGCCAGTTCCCGGCAGCTTCGACGAGCATCTACCGGCCGAACCCCATCCCGAAAGGCGGCGCCACCGTCCAGTAGTCAGCCGGCCCCACGTCGGCGCCGAAGTCCGGCGCGCAGCTCACTGGGACGAGGCAGAGCCCCCTGCTCCGCAGGTCCTTCGTCATTGCTTCCTCGCAGCTGTCTTCGTCCTTAATTTCTCACAGCAAACTATAAATCAGCATCATGAATCCATATGCATGTACTATTAAGAATCCCTATGAAATCTCTAACAATATGATTGTCCCGCTGCCGACATACTTTTCTCTCGAGAGAGAAAAAAGTATGATTTTTGTCCCTCAACTCTTGATGAAGTCTAGTTTTGGTCACTCAACTCCGAAACCGGATAACTTGCACCTTCAACTGCCGAAACCGGACAAGTTTCATTCGGTCTCGGTTTTGACCGGTTTTGGTGCCGACTCACCCTGGTTTTGAAATTCACATAATCTTTTCAAATCCACATAATTTTCTCAAGGCCGCGTAATTGTTTAAAAAATAAACATACTTTTTTCAAATCCATGAACTATTTTGAAATTTATGTACTTCTTCAAATCCATGAATTAAAAGAAAATTGTGTACTTTTATCAAATCCACGTATTTTTTTCATATCTATGAAGTGTTTGAAATACGCTTACTTATTTCAAATCCACATACTTTTTAAAGTTCGTGTATTTGTTTCAAATCCATGTTCCTTTTCCAATCCATGAAATTTGTTTGAAATTTACGTACTTGTTTCAAGTTGACATAATTTTTTCAAATCTATGTATGTTTTCAAATTTGCGTATAAGAAATCCAAATCCTCGTACTTTTCAAGTCCGCATCAAATTTTCAAATTAATGAACTCTTTCCAAAAATTGTACGTGAATATGAAAAAGTTCGTCGATTTTAAAAAATTACATAAATTTGAAAAAAAAACTACATGAACTTTAAAAAGTACGCGGATTTGAAAAAATACATGAACTTGGAAAAGGTACATGGATTTGAAAAAAGTACATGATTTTTTTTAAGTTCACGCATTTGAAAAAAAGTACCCGAATTTGAAAACATTAAGCGGACTAAGAAAAGTACGCAAATTTGAGTCAGCACGGTCAAAACAGGGTGGGACAACACCAAAACCGGTCAAAATTGTGATCAGGGATGAATCTAGTCCGGTTTCAGTAGTTAAGGGTGCAAGTTCTCCGGTTTTGGAGTTGACAGTTAAGGAACCAAATCTAGACTCCGTCAAGAATTAAGGAACAAAAAGTATAGTTTTCTCATATATATAATGCAAGCATATAAATTAATAAACTATATAAAGCACATCTGCATAATGAAATCTCTAAGCATATCTATGAAATCTCTAAGCAAGCAAATTACTAATCAGCATCACGGATCAATGTATTAAGAATCCATATGAAATCTCTAACCATATATACATAATGCAAGCATAAATAAACTATGTAGTAAAGCACATGATGGAGTGATGAGAACCTGGTCGGGACGTCCTCTCTTCCTCGTGGCATCGCCATGTAGCAGCTGCTCGTGATTAAGTAACGGATTAATTAATAACAGCGTCAAAAGGCAGTACTGCTACTGCACTGTTAGTGACCAAAAGCAATAGCTAGCTTTGCAGTGAAATGAAATAGTTAAAGGTGTAAAGCTAGAGACAAGTACTGGCCCCTGCTGCATGATTAACTTTTCCGGATTTGTTTTATAGGAATGCTTTTTACGTACACAGACTAAAGGCTCCCTTTGGGAAGAAAAGGATCATCTTTTCTACGTGCTTTACTTAACTGATCAGCCGAGTGTGGATCCCATAAAAAGAAAGGATAATTACTAATCAGAGGATCAATGAGCAGTTAATTATACCTGGCCAGGCTCTTCTGGAAATATGCTGCTCCTTTCTTTTTGTTGCACCTGTAAAAAAGTGATAATTTTATGAAGGGAATCAGCCACCACTTTTATTCACAAGAATATACTTCCTATGCTTTTGTTAATTCTGCGTATTAGTTTTCACTAAAGTTAAACTTTTTTTAGAACAATATGAACGTTTAAAATAACAAATCTATATGATGTGATAATGTACCAAGTTTATAAAGTTTGACTTCATAAAGTTAATACACGCAATAAACAAAAACGGAGGGAGTACTAATATTGGTTGGTCAGGCATGAAGCTTTGCCAATATACCTTTATGGAAAGAGCTCACAAACTTCAAGATAAGATCCATGCTCTCTTTTTTCCAAATATCATTCGCACAGGATTTTCTAATAGTACGTGTCGTTCTGCCATTAGCAGATATCTAATCTTTCTCTTTTTTTTTGCAGGGAAACCAGATAATGTAATCTACTTCCTCCGTCTCATAATGTAAGACGTTTTAACAGTTATCAGATAATCTAATGTACTCCCCCTGTTTCTAAATATAAGTTTTTTTAAAAAAAATAAATCATAAGAACTACATAGGGGATGTATATAGACATGTTTTATAGTGCAGATTCACTCTTTTTGCTCCGTATGTAGTCCATATTGGAATCTTTAAATAAACTTACATTTTGAAACGGAGGGAGAACTAGGCTACTAGAAGTAGAATTGCAGACTCGGTGCACATGTCAGTTCATGGATCACAAGTGTAATACTTCCTTCGTTCCTAAATATAAGTCTTTTTAGAGATTTTAATATGAATGACATATGGATGTATATAGACGTATTTTAGAGTGTACATCCGCTCATTTTTTTCCGTATGTAGTCTTTATTGGAATCTCTAAAAGAACTTTATATTTAGGAACGGAGGGAGTAATATATTGAACCCAGTAAATACCATGCAGACGGCTATATACAACGCGCACAGTGTATTGGACGTGCGCAATTAGCTAAAACCAAAGATTTGTTAAGCTACACAAATGATGGCTATGTTACTGTAAAGATGTGAACCATGCATGCATAAATTTGCAGTTGAGACACCAAAAAAAAATGAAGCCTCGCTGCCAAGAACATACATACAACAAGTGTACTGTGCCACTGTACAAGTTGAGAGTCGGACAAAAAATGCACGCCAAATGGTAGTTGACAACGTACGTGCTTTCAACACAGTACCGACCACTTGTCACTTGCATTTGGTTTTATGTTTGGTTAAAATCTGGGAGAGATCTAACTCACAAGCTCTATTCCGAAACAAGGAGAACTGAGAGAACCAATATAGTGCCATGAACAAATGCTAGCATAGTACTCCGGTTATATAAGAGCATTTAGATCACTACAGAGAGAGTACTAATCTTATCGTGAACAGAGATATTTTGAGTCATTCAAACTGTCTCTAATGTAATGCTCTACCACCCCTCAAAACAAATTTATAAATGCTCTACCATGAGATCTTATGGATGCACGTACACATGTATCATTTGCTACGTGGTTCACGGACGTAAAGGAAAGGAAAACCATTCATGACGGTTCAGTCCCAACGAGGCCAGTATCCAGAGATGGCTTTCGCCCTTGTTGACCATGCCAGGCGGCCTTGCTCTCCAGATATGGACAGGGGGAGAAAGATGTGGAAAGATGCGACGCGCGCGTGAAGGCGCGCAGATACGAGACGAGCGTTAATGATCACCTGGAGGCGGGCATGCACCTGCGCTGCCAGATACTACTCCTACTAGCGCGCAGCAGCTAGCGAGCGAGCTAGCCTCGGGAATTGTGCACGCACGCAGCAGCCAGCCAGCAGGCCCCTTGGCCGTGGGGTTGATCAAGCTCGCAATCGCGTTAAATGGAAGAGCAGGAGAGGACTCACGCTGGCCTGGTGCCGCTGCTTGGAGCTGGAGCTGCCGGAGCCCACACCGCCGTCGCCGCCGCCGCCGCCCAGCTGGTACGGCGAGCTCAGGCCCTGCATGCATTCGCACAGGAGATCGATCAATCAGCGGGTCAACCAAGCCCGATCGTAACATAACCAGTCAATTCACAGCCAGGCTGAGGAACAGACGAACAGTGCGTGCACAGGGAATACATATATACAGTGTGGCACCTTTGTGATGCCCAATCCATGCACACTGTTCATAAAAGAGATTTTGCATCTTCGCGCGCAGCGACCAGACTGCGGCATATGCATGCATGCACGCAGGCCGGACGGTCGCACGCGCGCAGCTTTTACGAGAACACACATTACGTTACCTGCCTCTTTTTGTTTCACTTGGCTGGCTCCTTGTGCAGGAACCATCAGCGATCGATCACTGGTTCACTATACATGTATATGTGCGGCAGGCAAATAGGTGAAGCATCTACAGTCCTTGTACCTGTACGCCTTTCTACTTGAAAAACGCACAAAACCACCTTAACTACGGTGTAATTTTTCTCACAATCCATATCTACTCTATAAGTTTCTTGCCGATAAACATCACATATTGATGTAATCAGTTGCAAGTAGCTCTGAGCTACACACGTGCTAAAAGACCGGCCAAGTTAGAAATTTCTAATCAATTTCAAATAATCGTTGGTTTTCTACAGAAAAAAGAAAAATGTAAATCATACGTGTACCAAGTCCATATTTTATATTTAGGAGTTAGCGGATTTATTTAATCAGCTCATTCAATATTTACTTCAAAGTTCAAAATTTTCAATGAAGGCGAAAATTATAGGCGAGCTCCACCTATCAAAAATCATGTCAACCAAGCTGGACAATATATTTGTATATAGTTGTAACAAACATGTATAGTTTGTGCAAATCCGACCCCAATAGTCTGTGGCTTCTACAATTTCCGCACTTTCCCTTTCCCTAAACTGAACGTTGTAGCGGTCAGGGTCGGTTGCGGATTGGGCTAAGTCAAATAATAACGAACTTAAACGCACAGTAGTTCCCTATAGGCAGCTATGAACATCTAGTACTGGCTATAGAAAAGTAAAAGTTAGCTCCTGTGTCCATAGCAATGGAGCTGTCTCCGAAAGAGCATGAATAACAACGGAACAATTGCATGCATGCATGTTGTATACGGTGTATGCTTTATATGTGATGTATCATGAATGTACTTCTTGAGAGAGAGAGAGAGAGAGAGAGAGAGAGAGAGAGAGAGAGAGAGAGAGAGAGAGAGAGAGAGGCACCTCAATTTGACCGTGTAGGAATCTGATGTATCCAATGGCTTCAAGGAGTACAGACGCAGTGTCAGTCTGGCAAAAAAGAGAGGTTAGCCCATGTCAGGATCTCTTTTTTGTATTGTTCTATGGGACAATGGATCTTCTTTCTTTAAGTCCAATCGAGTCCAGCATCGCAGCCAGATAAAAGACACCACCATATGCATATTTTACTTCCATTCGAAGAATATTGTGAAACTACAATTGTAAAATTATTTTTCTATTGGTGGTGTACCCAAGCAAAGTTCGTAAAATTATACAGTACGTGGCAAAAAGATTAATCTTTAATAACAAATAAAACAACCGTCCCGGACTAGTTTCCGGGGATGTGATAAACAACCTACTTATTTTCACCACGAACAATAACTATGCACAACAATGAATTCAAGGTCATACATTTTTAGTTTGATTCCACTTCCATAATCTAGCTACGGTAGAAATATAAGACCACTAATATGTGTGCCATTACTTTGTGGTGTATAGAGTTCCAGATCCATATATACATTTTTAGGTTGATTCTAATGCCACACATCATGGACTAATCATTCCCCACACCTTTAACCTTAGACCCGAGGAGGGAGAAAGAACAAAAAAATATTGGGGATGAGAGAGAAAGAACATTAAACATTATAATTTGTTATATACTATATCTTATCATGTAATATTGTCTGCCGGGGTTTCGACCTCCTTTCCGAACGAAAAAATCACATAATATTGTCCTATCCTTTGTTTTTTTAACCAGTTTCTTCTCTTGGATTGACAGATATTCATGGACAAGAAACGACATACTAGTACATATACCAGCTTAATTGTATCACATGTTCTAATTATTCTATCGCAAGTGATTTCCGCACACCAATAGATATGGTGCTAATTTTGATGAATTCATTAATAATAGTCACACATCGAGGGCTGCTAGGATGTACTGATATGGTGAAACTTGCAGCCTGAAGCGGACACGTTGTGATAGATACCTTCCCAAATGGGGAGACGAGCTGGTGAAGGGCAGTTATTCTATCCCCTAGCTTCTCCTTTCTCACCTGAGCAAAAGACCAAGCAAAAGATACTAAGAATGCCATCATCCCAAGCCTTGCCTGTCTCAGCTTCTCTCTCACTCCACAATGATTCTATGCATGTCCTTTTCAGCATACACATGCATCTGCTTCGATGCTTGCTTGCTCTCAACGACTGGA